GTCACCCTCACTTGTGTGATCATACATGCATGAGGGTGCAGATGCCTTACTAATCAGAAGAACGCATAAATGTCATAATCTTCTTTACGCTAACACTTTGTTACTTCCACAAATGTGCATCTGCAGACGCCCTACAATCAGGCAATGATAAGTATAACGAATCAAATAGGACCATCTCAACAGATGGTCTATGTCGATCAGCAATGGGATACTATTAGGTGGATTTCTTCGCTCTAAGCACTACTCTAATAAACTGTTTCCAGCAATGAAACTGAGCAAGCAATGGAACGTATACAGACTACTTTGTTAGTAAATAGAGTAAATCCGTGATATCGTAAACACGTTACACAATTAAGGGGCGTAATTATCAAACGAGACACGTGGCCGTTTATTTAGCATTTGTTTTCAATATTTTCTATTTACGAGACGTCAATGACGCAACATTTACATATTAAAATGTTCATAAAACGAAGGCACGTGGTTTAATAACGAACTGACCAGACCAGCAGGCGTAGGTTATTTACGCATTAAAATCGTGGTACAGTTTAAACCTTGTTTCAAAACGGCAATTAGCTTATTATTTTATTATTGTGATTAATTTTGTTTGTTTACACGAATATATTTGTCATATTGTCGATATTTTGAAGTCGAATGTCTATTGACTCCTAATAGTATTAACTAGATGTAGTAGTAAGTTTGCCGTGATAGCTCAGTGTCCGGGCGCTCGCCTTTAATTCAATGCAACCTGAGTTCGATCCCCGGTGCCGGCACCAATGAAGTTTTTAATTTTAAGTGCTGACTTATCACGTGCTCCGCGGTGAAGGAAAACATCGTGAGGAAACCTGCATATTTTCGAAATAATAACAAAAAAAAAAAATTCGAAAATATGTGAAGTCCGCCAATCCGCAGTGGGGCCGCGTGGTGGACTACGCCCTGATACCCTCTGTATAGAGGAGGCCTTTGCCCAGCAGTGGGACATGTATGCCTATACATGTTACTTTACTTTTACTTTAGTAGTAAGTTTAGCTAGATTTATGAATATGGAAAGTTAATCCAGATCTCTGGATGACAGTCGGGGCGATTTATGCTTTTGCAAATACCTTTATCAATTACATTGAATTTATTTCGACATGCATAAAAATCAAAGCCCCGAGCGCTACAGAAACGTTGGAACTCCTGTTCCAACAACTGGCAGGCTCCATAGTAGATAGTGACAAAATTTTTTTGATAAAAAAATATATCGTGCACTAGAAACAGAGAGTCGCCTCGCAAAGAGGTAGCCGTTTCTCGCATAATGTAGGCGCACAATACAGATATAGATTTTGCAAAAGGCACACAGTATGATGAATATGCATGTGGGATTTTTTTACATTACAACCTGCTTGTGGCAGTATTGAGTCACGGTCCAGTAATTCTGCGTATCTTTACTTTGTCCAGAAAAAGCATAGCTTGCGTTGTGTACAGTTAATAATTGTTTGTATCATTATCTCGCCATATTTACCAAATGTAAATTTGCGTGCACCTACATTTTAATTTAAACGCATGAAATTTTTAACTGTGAAATGTTAGACAAATATCTTAAAGTAAAAATGGGTTTAAGAATTTCCTTATCTTTCTTTCGAATTTAAGAAAAATACCATAATGTAGTATAAGCCTCAACCCTCTTTGGGAACAACAACCAGATCAGGAAGAATTACTTGTGGGTCACACGAATGCTTTTCCCGTTTGGGAATCGAACCACTACACCCGGCGCCGAAATCCTTAGCTTAGCGACTGCGACATCGAGGTATCATGTGCACGGTTGCCAACAGTTATTGTCCAATTGGTCTCTTGTTTTTAGATTACTGTTATAGCGTGCGTGGTAGGACCACGCAACGATTGCGCGAATGGGCCGGTCCGTGTGGGCAAGTACATCGACCTGCGTTTAGTCTGGCGAGTGAGGTAGCTGGGGCCCACTTTATTGAAAGGTGGCAACGAATCTGCAACTCTACGGGCCGAGTCAATGGGCTGAGTTGTTCACTTAACATAAGGTGAACCGTCAGATCTTTTGCCACCTTATCCCCTAAAAAATATTACTTGGAAATCAAACGAAGAAGATACTACGATACATGAACGCATTTCCCATCGCACCGTCCGTAAGCGCATTAGCGTATAGACGCGAGCTATTTTCGCGTGTGGATCGTAGTGGAATCTTAAATACCAAGTACGGTGGGATGATTGTACTAGATAAAATATTTCCGCTAACATGGCGATAGAGTACGTGATTCGAAGCGATAATGCGTTTTACTGTTATGCGCCGTTTCGTCGCCTGCCCAATGTAGTTTATCACATTCGATTGATAGTTTATCACGTGGCGATTCACCGGACCCGGCGGGGCTTTGACTGAGAGTACCGCTCAGGTTTTTTTATGTGAAAATGTGGCAAACGAGCTGCTGGTTCACCTGATGTTAAGTGAAGCGGCCCATTGACATTTGCAAAATTCTTATGGTTTCAGATGCGTCGTCACCTTTTTATAAAGTGGGCCCCGGCTACCTCACGAGACGAAACGCAGAAGTATAACACTTCCACTTCCACGCCTGTCTTCTGCGAGGTCGTGGTACTTCCTTGACTTGCCATTCGTGCAACGGCGAAGACTATTGCGTGGTCCCACTACAGTAAAACGTTTTGTAGGGGTTCAAATATTCATTGTAACATGTTATTTGAGTGTCACACTAAAGTTGCTACATAGGTGGCGTCAAGCTTTGTTCATTAGGAAAGGCAAGTGAGATGTTTTCAAATGCTAAAATCACTGTACATTATTGCCTGGTGAACAGCAACCATCTCCATGTGGCTAACAGAACCTAACATACGATCGGTGAAACGTTCGCATAGATAGTAATGTCCCTATGCTTGCTCCATTTTGGTTAAAGTGAGCGCTTGTATATTATACGAATACATTTTTACCACAGGTTCAATCTCACATATACAAATATGTTATAAATAAATGCTGTAACCAAATGCGAAATTATTTCAACATCGGTGCGCACTTTGCATACGAAATGTTGCTTCTAATTTTCGAGTTATATAAAAACTAGCTCTATTTCAGAACTTGAACGGAGTGGAAATAACTTAATAAGGATATCTTGCTCAACTGCATCAAATGTTATTTCGTAAAATGCAAATATTTATGTGACAATTCAAGGTTTTTACATTATATCTCATATTGTTAAAAATGACAACTTTTAACACTTCATAAACATTAGGATCGAAGGGATTTTCCACTCTAAGTCTATTTATACTTTTGCTTTTGAGATAATAGAATCTAGCGACGAGAATAAGTAAAATTCAAATATCTTTATTCAATACAGAATTTGTATTCTGTTTAACAAGTTTGTTTGTTCGACTTGCGTTTAACATTTTTACACATATAGCTCACTCGAACTGTTTGTTTGAAACAAAACATAGAATTGTTTGAGCGAAAGGGCCAAATATATTGGGTAATTGTATGAAGTTAATAAATATGTTACGGAATATAAAATAACAATTTGATTATCATAAAGTGTTATGAATATCCAGGCAACCGCGGTAAACTTATCATCAATTTAAGTGCAGAGAATAGTACTACAAAATTAATATAATTAAAAATGTAATAGCAAAAAGGTGACATCTCTAGTTTTAAATTAATTCATTGTCAAATTGTCACATGATAAATGGTTCGTTTGCTGTGCAGGAAACAATAGATGGCGCTAAGAACGTAGTTTAAAAGCAAGATGACCCATCTGGTGACCCGCATGCTCCTTTGCCTCCTTTTCCCATAAAAAAAAGTTAGATAAATTCGTTGAGATTTTTGTCCGTGTGAAAGTATGCCGTTTGGCCCAGTGGCTAGTATCGGGGAGATAAAAATTAATATCATTTAAATTATATCTAATATATAAAATTCTTGTGTCACAGTTTTAGTGTTTATACTCCTCCGAAACGGCTTGACCGATTTTGACGAAATTTTATAAGTATTTTCAGTAGGTATGACAATAAATTATTTATGGTTTATAACTAATTTTTATAACCTTGTTATATTTTTTAAAAATTTTTGGACAATTTTTTTTGGTTATATTTTTATGGTGTGGCATTAAAATACATTTAGTCCTAAACTAGAAATAATTCATATAGCAAAACAACGTTACCGGGTCAGCTAGCGGGTTATTGTATAACCTTAGTAATTTAAACGCCTTCTAATTCCATAACAGCAATGTTCCTTTCTCTTACATTAAGCGGTCAACTTGTTCATTTTATGTTCAGGAGTCTAAAGGGTACTTAATTGATTATTTGAACGTTGATTTTTATTCCACATGAGAGTGTATCTAATGAAGTGTCCCACTTGCACGAAAAAAAAAATCATTAATAGGATTCCTTCCTTCCTTAACATGAAGTGGTTTACCTCCTCATGACTTTGCAATGTGTACAGCAATAAAAGGCTTTGTAAACTGTGGAAAAATTTGTCAGGGTCTATGTTCGTATCTGAATATACTGTGTATTAGGCAAGAGTGGACAGGCGTTTACTGTGCGTTCACCACCTACTAGATTACTATTTACCATTGTTGCTTGGTTAATGTAAGCATGGATGTTTTGCGAAATAAAACAGGAAATAAGAAATATAATTTACTAATCCTTACTTAAATTTAAGGTCTTTTGAAGACTAATATCACTCGAAAAAATTTATTTTGTTAACACTCTTAATTTAGAATAAATATGACATAATTTTCATTCAATATCGTTTTAGATCCGTAGGTAGCTTAGGCTCAGAAAAATATATTACTCTCAACTTAAACAAAAACAAAACAAAACGAACAAACTTTGTACGTCTATATAGCATTTACAAAGGTGACAACCATATATTCATGTGTTCCATAATATTATTTAATGTTTTTTGTCAATTGGAAGGACTAAAAAGTTGCTTTTGTCAGACAAAGGGTTATCTGTCTATCATATCTCTTTGTGAAATGAACGTGACATTGGTAGCCTTATTGGCGTCTTTTCTTGTGTGTTATTGGGGCTTGTCTGAATTGGTTTATTTGGTAGTTGATGCCCAGAAGGGTGGGGTCAATGCCTGCGATAGCTGTGCCTATGGGACGCGCCAATGCCACTCCACTGGTTGCCACTGCAGTTCCTACCGGCCGAGAGGCTGCTAGACCAGTCTCACCAATCACCGCCAAGCCTGAAAAAATACCGCAATAAGGAAATGTACATTTTCTAGTGATTGGCCAATTAGTTATGACCCCATTGGCTAATAAGCGGGTAAAATCGCTTGATGATAAGTGGTTACTGCCGCGATAAATATCGATATGCAGCCACGAGATGTAGTGACACTGATCTGCATCAAGTCGGTGAAAACAGATTTAAGATGCCTCATGGCAATCGGTGAATTGGCTCTTTTAGCAAGAGACTACTTATCCCCTGAAATATGATGGTTCTAATCATAATGATGACGTTTTTGTAGAAAGGGGATCGTGCAAATTTCTAGACAAAAGCTGGGATCAGTGTGACTGAAAAACTAATGAGTTGTGGTCATTTTTTTGGAAGAAGTATTACATACCAATAGGCTTAGCTTCAGCTATTCTCGCATCGGTTAGACCATCTTCATCAGTATCAGGTGCGTCGACTCCTATACCCTCTTGACTAATCTGGAACATTAAATATATTTATATATCATATTTTTAGATTACATAAATGGCGTTGCAAAAATACTTAACTTAGTTCTTTAGCTATGGGTTTGGAGGGCCACTCAACAGCCATCGCAGTTGAACAAATGAGCAAATCCGTCCGAGGAAGTACCAAAATCTCACAATAAACTGACGTGAAGTGGAAGTTATACTTCTGCATTTCATCTGGTGAGTTAGGTAGCAGAGTTCCCTTTTATTAAAATGTGGTAATTATCAATGGGTGGTTATCACTTAACATCACGTGAAACATTAGCTGCTAGCTTGTCATCTTCTCACATAAAGAAAAGGTAGAAATGTATCCCGTCGAGTTGTTACTAACGGTTTTTATCAAATGCAATAGTTTTTATAATACCATTTAGACTACTCACATCCTCATCGTAGTTATCCTCGTAACGCCTCAGCAGCGTGACGTTAGAATTAAACAGAGATTCAGCATTGTCTCCTATCTCTTCGATCAGCTTTATCGTATTTGACGCCGTCTCGCCGAGTGACGAAAGCTGGCTCTTAAATCTGGCCATGTCATTGTTTCCAAGGAAACCCGTTTTACGTCCCAAGGTGTGCAGCTTCAGCGCGTTGCTTGCCAATGTCTGTAGACTCTGCAAGTTCGCTGCAAGCATCCTGGACAGGAGGCTGTCATTATTGTTTTTCACAACATTCTCGCTGGTAATACTCTCTTCGGCCACAATTTTCTCGCTGACAACGAAGCCTTTAGTGTCTTTTTGTACCTCTAAATATTGCCCTTTAGCGCCTCCGTAAAATGGCAGGTATTGTGTTGAAGCCCTATAAAGTTTGGATTGCTTTCTAATTATCCTATTTTTCTAATAAATTTGAATTTAAAGATTTTTTTAGTGTAGCATAATCTTATTGTAATTATATGAAAAAATATTGTTATTATGTCATCATAATGTATAACGAAATATCACATAATAATAAATTCAGTGAAGCTTTACAAATGTAAAAACTTCTATGTATTATTTAATATTTAAATAACAAGTGAATCTTTAGTACCAAGTTTTACATATACTTTTAGTTTCTTATTTTACATATACTTATGAATTATATGTATGTAATTATATGTAGTATAACAAATTTATATAAAATTAAAATAAAACCACATTAATTGTTCCATTTCTTTATTTTCTTTTATTTACATACACATATTAGAATAAGTATTACACAGTTTTGAAATTCGAAAAATAGCTTCAAGAGCGTGGTCGAAAATATTTTCCGAATAATTATTGTCAATAAATCTGAAATAAATAATTATCCTAAAGCCTTTTTAAATTCATATAGGTAAAGATCGGATTCAGCGTGGGCTATTCCACCGGGTCCAGCTATGGCGGTGGCTGCTGGGTTATAAGCGATTGAAACTTGTTTTTTTTCACCGACTATAACTTCTGAAATTGGATTAGCAATAGCTATCCCGTTTGTGCCAGTCACTGCGTTAGCCATTGGACTTAAATGGATCCACAGCGTTGAGTTTTCTAAAAAGTTCTTTTTAAAATCCATCCCGTTGTAATGAAACTCGGATCGTTCGTTGTGACTGAGGGTTCTACTATTCGGTGGTTCATCTTCTCGTAGTACATCGTAGTATCTAGCAGGCAGGCAAAAAGAATCGATCATTAATTTGTGTTGTGGAATATGAAGTGACATTGATATTATCTCGCCTCCTCGTTCGGATGATAGAAAATGACTGGCCCGGTTGCGACAAGTTTTCCTTCGGGCGATGGGTTAAATGATCGTGGTACGGACCCATCTGTGGATTGTTGATGGAGGCGTGATACGAATGATGTTAGATCTGTTTGTGGTGATAAAGCGATGACACGAGCAGCGGGCCCTGCAACAGCGATGCCTCCAGGTTGAGTGAAGGCAAACCCGCCTGGTCCAACGATAGCAGTTCCACCCCTTCCAGCAGTTGCCACGCCCCCAGGGCCGGCAATGGCTACACCCCCTTTTCTCACTCGCAGTCTATTTATAAAAAACCCCGGGCTGGGAGCCACTGGCTTCTTATTTCCAAACCATGTGAAGTCGCTAAAAGGGAATCGCAAATCTCCCTCGACCTCACTGCTTTTCGTATCTATAGCGTCATTTTCAGTATCGACTTGGGGCTTTTTTGTCTTTTTCCTTGTAGTAAGTGACGGCTTAAATAAAACTTTTTTTGTCTTTTTTGTAGTATCTTCTTGCTCATTAGTTAGAGTTGGTATATTCCTTTTCTTAAGCGCCCGTCTGACTCTAGAATGTGCTGGCAAATGATCACTATTGTATAATAGATCGTTAGGTTTAGCAATTTCTATATGGTCATTCAAAACCAATTGTTCAATGTCATTTGCACTATGAGATTTCTGCTTTCTACTGCAAACATCAGCACTTTGACCGAATTCAAAAAAATTGTTCCATCCACCGCCGTGCAAAAACCCCAAGAGGGGATCCTTTACCAATATTGGAAAAAAAGATGCAAAGGGCCATTGTAATTGAAATGGGAAAGATGGTGAGTCCTGTCTTGTTTGATAACTATCTGACTGCATTGATTTAAGCGTATTATAAGAATTATATAATAATTCATTATTCATCTGCGGCATGACTATTACTGGCATGCTTGTAATATATGGCATAGGCATTGGTGATAACAAGCCATGATTGAGGGAATTTTGATTAAGTTTCAATGCTTTTGAATATACATAGCGTTGGTGTATGTCATCATCGTTTAAAATTGTGTTCGTGTCTTGTTGCTTTATACTCTGCTGCGTGAATGGATGTGGTTTGATAGATGCAATTAATTGCTGTATTTTCTCAAATGTACCTTCGTCAATGACGTAATCACTACCAGATGGCGGTCGATTATTTAATGTAACATATTGCTTATTCGGTTTTCTCAAACCTTCATTGACCGTTTTTATTTTCTCTAATATCTCATAAGTGTCAGTGCTAGTATTATTTTCATCATATGACAGAGACCTTTCTTCGTGTTTCCCTTCGGTTTTATTTATGTTTTCTACTTCGATTGCGGACTGCATTGTTGTTCTGAAATATACATTCGTATATTTATTGCATCTCTTCAACGTGTTCTTTCACCGTGTCCAAGCGGATTAATATTGCGTGCACTGTACAAATTTAGCGGTGGTTAAGCGTACAAATAATATACATCACCCTACCTGAGCCAGCTAGGCGTGTAGATTTTTAATAGCCTCTTCAACCCCGAAGATGTTTGCAACTACAAGGTTAGTTTTGTGAATGTTACGCGTCGCGCAGTGCTTGCTAATGAGAAGATGTGAGATAAGAAACTATTAACGGTTGTGAAAAACGTTGGTGATAATATTAACATATTTGTACGTTACGCAATGTTTACAGATGTTTGTATAAATATATAACACACCATTTTTGTACACGATAATCATAGTAAACTTATTATAATAGAAAGTGAAACTGCATTATATGTTAGATAAATTCTGTTTGTAGCTGTGAGAATTATGATTTTACTGCTGAATATTATAAACAGTCTTCTATAAACAAGTCTCATTAGTGCTAATTTCCATTCGATGTTAGGTAAGGCACAGGGCCGGAAATCAGTGAGATTTTCTACGGAGTTTTCAAAAATTTCTGCGTGACTTGGGTCAGGAATACGGTGACACGCACACCACATTTTTGGTCTAAATAAGCCTCGTGTTAAAATATAATTTCAGCAGACGTGATGAAGAATTTTTTTATGTAACACAATCTAGGCTACTTATTCTTTTCAACAGGATAGTGATTGTTTTGTAAATAATTATTTACATAATATATGGAGTAAGGGATTTACTTACACGCTGGCGGGCTTTGGTGTGACCTCTAGAGCTATACAGGCGAACAGCAACTGGAAGTTGTAAATACAAAAGCCATTAATTACATCAATGGTAATGCTATCAATGCTTATTAGTTATTAGTATATGGTAAAGATGTTAATTAAAGTTATGGTAATGATAATACGACACAATTCCTCAGATTATGAAATAAAATCAGAAAGAAGAGAAGGCTGGCAATATTTATGTGTATAAGATTGAGGGATTTTTTCATTATAAGGAATCCAAAAATATAGATATATAATAATTTGTATTCAGCCAACAATGTCGCTTTCTTAATAATTCTCAAAAATTTGAATAAATACTAAATTCAGAACATTGCATTGCTTTAGCTAAGTCCCGTAAGTTGTTTCAACATAATTGCCTAAGTTGATATATCTCCGTGTTAATTTGCTGTGACTTATTTCTATTGACTTAATTGTATTATATTTTTTTACTAAAATTGACTTGTTTTATTTGAGTTTCATTATTGATTAACGTGGTGTCTCAATTGGGCTACATTCCCATGGTCTAGGAATGCCTTGAAATAAAACAACTATCTTATCTGTCATTGATATGAAGTAGTTCATCTAGTATTATTCATCATTGACAGTAAAGTAGATCGTTGCATAGTAAGGGCCAAATTATACTGGTGGAAATGGTTGAAAGCCGCATTACTGGAGTACTTATTTGTTGAGCTGGAATTTTCGAGGCTTTTTCAAACTTAATGGCTTATTATCGAGATGCCATTGTTGCACTCTCTATTTTTGAATGCAAGCTTTCCGTAGCGATAAGGCTCACCACGTGTCATGTTTATATCATAGACAGCATTAACTATGTATGTCTACTAATTAAAACAAAAAATAAATTTTCTTTAGGTGAAACCATTGTTAGCAGTAATACACTTCTATAACTATGCTCATACGTAAATGACCTTTAAATTGTTCGTGATGCAAAATGTATTATTCACAATTTGAACCAGTAGACATTAAGCAAGTACCGGCTACCTAACGTTGTACCAAAGAGAGAATAATTCGAAAGTATGTACCAAAGACGAGAAAGGTCCAACATTTAGACGCGTCCAAGTTCATATCTGTTTACTTAGCCCACTTTCTACGCGTGATCTTAATAAGATTTCGTTCATGTACAGTAACATTTTGCTTGCAGCTGCAATTGTAAGACTTTTTTAGACCGGTTGTTAATTTAAGGGCAGGAATGTGGTCCACACCAAAGGAAATGGCTTTAGTATAACTTTATGCCGCAGAAATCTTTTAGGAGACGTCGAAGCTTCCACTTCCGTCACGCTATTAAGCATAAAAGCCTGTATTTATAAAAGTGAAAGGCGATAAAACGTTCCAGACTGTGACTTATTACCTGATTTATTTGAATATAATTACAAAACTTAATGTATTTTTATTAATAATAGCTTTTAATAGGTCAGAAAATAAAAACAAAATTGTGGTTATCAATTTTGTTTATTGAAAAGGTGTAGGAATTATGATTTTTAATCGCTTCAGAAATGTAATATAGTATTCACGTTGTGAAAAAGTTTTCAACTCGACTGTAAAACCTGTACACTTACAATTTTTAATTTTACATACATTTGTCTTAAAAGAAAAAGTTAGACAGTTATAATAAAGAGAGGAATCTGGCATTTGCTTTCTATAAACATTTTTTATATTAATGTATTACTATTTTAGAAGGTAGAAAACTTTTATAATGATTCTAAATGATCCGTACTGATATGTCTTGTGAGTTTTGTTCCTTCGACAATATTTAACAGAATGCAGTAGGCGAGTAACATAACGATTTCTCTTAAACCCATTATCTATTATTCTATTAGAATTGGAAAGTTGGTACTGTAATGCAGATCCGCTGAACATATTGATTTTTTATCCAACGCTGAAATCATCGGTGAAAGCAATGAATCAAGTTAGCGCCTCACTTACTGATGGCGGTTGCTTTCATTACTTTGTGTTCGCCATGTTTTATGTACACTAGTGCCGTACGTTAATGAATATGGTCATCAGTGCAATCTTTAAAATAATAACACACATAAGTACAGTATCGTGTACATTGCAGTATCGTGTACAGTGTTAATGTACGTTTCCTAATATCACGATCAATTTGGATGGATGTTGGGGAAATAGTAGATTTTCAAGGTTCTTTTGTGGTATTAGCAGTTATGTAATTATGTTATATATATTTTCGGATTTGTTCAATTTCACCAATTAAAGCCACAACAACGCGATGAGACAACGTTTTTCTTTTTCGGTCAAAGTGACAAAAATAATCCATAAAAACTCCTACTATATGTTGGAAACTATAGCTATGTCTGTATGTATGTATAACTTAGGTCTTTGTCATAGAAAGCATCAAAGATCATTAATAATAATAATTTAATCACAGCATCAAATTGGTTTACCCAATTTAAGTCCTAATACTAGTCCTAATACAAGGCCTAATACTAGTTCTAATACCAGTCCTAATACTAGTCCTAATACCTTGTCCGTCTTGCATAGTTATTGGAAACTGCATTTCCTATAGCTTTTCTAAAAACGGTACAGTTTCAAAATTATTATAGTAAGTTACCCAGACAATCCTTTATAAAAGGAGAATAAATCGGTCGTTTATTGAGAAATTAATTCCTCTACTTCCTTAAACGCATAAACATCGTGTTCGCAATTAAATTGATTGCAATAAAATAACTGAAACATGGAATTAAGAACGGTAACAAAACGGCAAGTTTTCGATAAAGCGAAAGTCGTCTGACGTTATTAATGTCGCTCTTATATATTTGTAGAAAGCTGCTTTAAGGTATGAAAAATGCCATTGCTTTTCGCTAGATTGATTTTACAATATTTGCAAATGTTAACTACTTAATAAATTATCTAATCATATACCCGCAGATAGTGCCAAAAGTACTGTAATATTACCATTAGTAAATTATAATTGTATTCTTATGTATGATATATAGTATAGTATATAGATGAGTAATAAATAATTCTCAAAAACTCCCGCAAGTAAAGTGTCAGGAACTTCAAAATAATTTTATACCGCTGGTGACATCAAGGGTCATGCTGGATGCCCGCAACGATAAATGTTTAGGTTTTTATATAAAAAAAAGAATTACCTATATGACTAATACGTTTAAGCTGTAAATGGTGATGACAAAGCGACAAACAATGACAATTCCAGTCAAGAACTATTTACCAAAATATTCTTATTTATTTACTTTTTTCATAAACCCCCAAGTAAATATCTAAGCTTTTGTACAACTTAATGGTCTCGGATACAAGAGAACGTGACGCATTGGAACTTGGTGTTTGTTATAAACAAAGCTTCAGGCATTACAAATTATGGTCCGAGTGATGAAATAGATCAATGAAGTCATCAAAGTGGTCTATCCAATTCATGTCTACCCACTAAGCACAATCGTAGGTGGCTGGAATTTCCTTCAGCTTCCTTTGGCAATTTGTGCAACGAAAACTAGAGATTTCTCTATATAATACTCATAAAATAAAATTTTATTAGAAGATTTCTGCTAGTTCCTCCTTCACCCGCAAAAGAGTTTTAATTTATCGATAATCTTTTGAATCATACGGGTATGAAAGAGGCGATAGAAATATTTTGTTCGTTTTATCAATATATCAAGGAAAAACGAAAGTAGCAATAGAAATATTTGTTCTCTCGATATATCAGGGAAAGTGGCGTTAAAATTGTTAACAATTCCATACACATTTCGACGGATGGCAAATTATGTTCCCATGATAAAGTCAATGGCAGTTTTGCCCCCGTTACGTGTGGTCGGAGGAAATACGAGGATGAAACACTCGATCATTGAGAAAGTTTCCATTGGAACGTGAGAATATCAGAACTAACCACGCAATAGAATGTTGAATAGGAAAATTTAATTTCAAGCCGCTAGTAAGCAAATGGGTCTCCACCTACTATTTGAATCATAATCTAAAAATAAGCGAACATTTTATCGACTGAACTACGACGACTAAATTTACCATATAAATTTCATTTATAGATTTTCATCAGTGAAAATTTTCCGTGTAACACGCATTTCTCTACTGTAATTCACAAGTTAATTTAAGACACAGATTTTCGCATCATTATCGTGTGTTCGATCTATGCGATAAAATTTTTGTCTACTGATTGATATATAAATATACCGAAATGTTTGCGACGCTTTGTTATGTTCATTTAATGTAGTACACAAGGAACAATCAAAATCAAATGTCTTTATTCAACATAGGAGAATTACACTCGCTTATTGATGGTCAAAACACTATCACCGGTTCGGAAAAGAAAGCCACTGTACTGAGAAGAACCGGCGAAAGAAACTCAGCGGGCCTTTTTTTTTATTTTTTTTAAATAAGCAGTTTGACATGAATTCATTAAAAATACAATATTAAGAACTCTGATTGCTAGAGCCTGGAGCGATTAGTTCATTACCAGAGTGTGTTATCATTTAAATAATCATTAATATTATATTAGCCTTTAACACACAAACGTTCTTTTACAATAATAAGGCCATAGCAAAAACTTTGTGGGGACTTAGAAAATTATTGATAGATATAAAAAGTATGAAAGAAGCCGTGTGAGATTAAAGTGCCAATGACCTCAACATGTTTAATGATGATGACTTCCTTTAATTTATTGATCTACGACCCGTTTTGAGCTGATGGATTTTATGTTCGATCTTTTTTGTGAATTATAACGCTTTAATTTAATCAAGTGACTTGTGAAACGTATGGTTTTATTGTTTATTGAAAATATTTGCATTTTACCCTCCAATCTTGTCATGTGCGATAATGTCAACGACCTGTACGGACGTATTTTCGGGAGAGTGGTGACGTGATTCAACAAGACGACTTAAGGTTTGTTATAATGTTAAAAGTCAATGACCGAGATTTTATATATATTAGCTCTGTATTTTTGTTTAATGATTTTGTTGATATTAATAATCCATAGACAATTCAACCGGAGAAAATTATTAAATCTCTATTTAGCAAAAATCTCGTGGAAAATCGTGCAAAATCTGTGATGTATTTGTGACTTATAAATACGTAATAACGTCGTTGTTAACCATTAGATTATCATGCTTCGTGCATCTGTTTTTAAATTTATTTGTTATTTTTATCCATCTAGTATTTGTGTCTGTTATTTGTTTAGTAGAAGCAATTTCTTAATTGGCATAAAAAATACAATTATTTCTCTTGAATCTTCAACCTGTTGCCTGAAAAAGTTGCTTAAACTGCAGTCAGACAAACACCATACATGATTTTTTTAGTTTAAACATGTTTACTTATAAATTAAATGAATGGTTTAACCACGTTAGTTTGAATATTTGAGTATAAACTATATTTTCTGGGTAAGGTTACAGGCGTTAATAACATACTAATCAGACACTGCATTGACGACATTGAAGGAGGATAGTATTAGACTTACAATTCGTAGTCAATTCGCGTTTAACATTAACTGCTTATAAATACACAAACTCCAAGATCATTGCATTCCCCGACAAGCGTATAATGAAGGGCATAAAACATCTTCTGTCATCATAAACTATCGCGTTAATTCTACATAGGACATCTCGTTTATGTTATTCGAAGTATACATAGTCATACTGATAAAGAACATCGAGGATCAAGACGTTTGTAAATATAGTAATTACGTCTTGGCCTAAAGGGCCTTGATACCTGGCCATAAAATAAAAAAAAATAATAATTATTACGTTCCTCTAATTATATCCGAATACTTCTTTATCGTATTCTATCCTACTTTAAAAAATATTAAAGGGTTATTCACTTTGAATATTTCTTTCCAGTTTTTCTTTTTCTGGTGATGCTACATTATAACGTTCAAAAATGCTTAAATAAAGTTGAATAGAATATTATTTTAATATTATGGATTTCATGTCAAGAGTAATTTAATAATAATATTTATATAATTATAGAATACTAGCTGACGCAGCAAATGTTGTTTTGCCATATAAATTATTTCTAGGGAATTTGTGAATCTGAACACATAGAAAAATAATTTTCGGACCGCACCCATAAAATGTTTGACAGGTAGGAACAGTTTGTACCGGAAAATAAAATTGTTGCTATTTCGATTTTCCCATGCAATTTTTCCATAATTTTTCATCGTCCCTGGACTGCCACAAATATTTCAAGTTCAAAATTAGCCAAATCGGTCCAGCCATTCTCGAGTTTAGCGAGACTAACGAACAGCAATCTATTTTTATATATAAGATTGATAGATATGTTAAGCAATAATTGTTTTCTAGTTCGCAGTCGCAATTATTAGATTTGTTATATCGCCAATTTATAACGACTTGAGCTATTTGAATTTCCGGATGCATTTAAACCTAGTAGTTGGATTGGTTTTCGATTAATGTAGGCATTTTATAGCGGACTCACAAGCTTATTTTTGTGCGAGAATAATTATTGATTCACATCTTACCTATATCATGTTATTACACCAAAACTTCATAAATTAAATTTATTCTAAAACTGTAATATTAGTACTTGCTAATAATACTTTCACTTCAATATTATATTGCAACCTAACGAACTATATTTTATAAAATATAATGTATTATCATATCGGATCATATAAACATGCATTTTTGTATGAAAAAAAGCAATGCAAGTTCGTATAACATTTTAAATGTCTGGTGGTTTTATGATGAGAAATGAAAGTCTTTCATGTCTATTATGGATTTGCAAAACTTCAACACTGACGACGATGCTTATTTTAGTTTACACGTAATTTCTAATCTTACTGCGCGAAATGGGAGGAAAAAATAACTTTAAAATATTTTGAAACCGCGGTGACAGATCGCAAGGCTACGGTAATCTACTTAATATGTACATTATAATATCTGAGAGATGAAAGAGCGGCTTAAATAAATAATTGTTCAAATACCGACTAAGAGCAAATTACAAATTAAATAATTTATTCTATCGAATCTATACCTATTTGTAATTAAGAGGTTCCACAGCAAAAATATTCAATAAATTACAAGGAGTTACCTTGTAATTTACTGAATATTTTTGCTGAGATTATAGAGATAAAAGTACGTGACGCGAAGACAAAGCCGCGGTATTTTAATGTTCAGTGTGAGGTAACAGACGGAGTTGGACGTGATTTGGTTTATTTTAAACCAAAATTTATCGATTGTTACATTTGATGAATAGAGTTTCGGAAATATTTATATCAACAGTTATTCTATGTATGTAATATATACTAAGTGGATAATAAATTTTTGGTGGCAGTTATTAATAAAATAAAAAAAATATTATAAGAATATTTAAGAATGCAAACATTTTACATTCATTTTGTGTAGTCATTAATATTTTTAGTAAAGCAATGAAACAGCAATTTAAAAATTGACAAAAAGATTTTCGCTGTTGCGAGGATTTGAATCTTTGCCCTATCCCACGCGGTCGGAGCTCTAGCCGCTGAGCTAAACGGATAATCTTTACACCGACGAAAATTTCAACATATTTAATCAACTTTGGGTTTTATTTATTTTTTTTGCAAAATTTGGCGTCATCTAGTTAGTGTGTTTTCTTTACAACAAACGGCGACTTTTTCATATAAAAAAATTACATAATGAAATATTTAAAAACTAGAGATGACATCTTTCCTCTTAATATTATATTAATTTTTATAGTGCTATTCTCTGCGCTTAAGGTGAAATTTAAAAAAAATTGTAGAAAAATGGACGAAACGTTTTTCGCCGCTTAAGGATTTGAACCTGCATCTTTCGGAATATTAGGCGAAGAGAATAGCGCTGAACATTTAAAATCCTTTGAAAACGATAAAATATGATTCACTAGAACTAACTAACTAGAAAAGGTAAAACGAACAATACGCATCACAAAACTCCCAAACAAAGTTATCCGTTGCAATTTCCCAAGGTCGCGGCCGAATCTTGTTTCAATAATACGTGATGCAAAAACTTTGTACCCCTTTTTACGAATATTGCGCGGACGGAGGAGTACGAAATTTATAGACACCACATAGTTTATACAGAGGAGTGCAGAATTATTCAAACTTATAATTTATATTAATTATGGTCGAATTTCAACCACTCGGCGTCCACTAGTTAGAATAAATTCACGATCATGTCAAGTTTATAAATAACCCCCCCGAGTATCAGATCGTATTGATTTAGGACTTCAAGGAATCTTACCGTTGTCAGGAGCGTTCGAGACATCTCGTGTTTGGTCGATCGGTAGATAAATAACAAAACAACTTAAATCGGGCGTGCACGTGCGCGGCCGACCGCGATTGAGGCGAGTTTGACGTCCGAACTGGCCCAAGAAGCTTTTTGCTTGACTCCGCACCTACTAAGAGCATTCGGTGAGAGAGAGGTGACATTGCTTCGAATACGCGGAGAACGGTCACGTGTTAGAATCGACAACACGCATTAATTTAAGCTTGATAACCGTCAGTCGATCGGTGCTAGATCGGCTGACGGGTATCAAGCTTAAATTAATGGGCTTAATAGCTGCACGATTCTAGTTCTTATTCCCGCATCAGTTGTGGTCGAACGGAAATCTTCATATAAAATAGGTTTGCACTAATAAGTCTTTTTTTAAATATAAAGTGAAAGACCCGTACCAATATTAACCGTTCAAGATCATACGGCTGTCAAAAAATGTAGAGTATTATGTCTCGAGGAACACCACAGATTGTGTTAAAGATATAGATATATGACGATTTATACTTAATAGATATGTTTACCTTTCAAAATCCATGATCGCTTGGAACCTTAACATTTGAGATAATATTGCATTTCTGCACGATTATTGGAATGGAACAAATATTTTTTTTTGTGGCAAACGAGCTGGTGGTTCACCTGATGTTAAGTGATAACTGCCGCCTATTGACATTAGCAACACCCGTAAAGTTGCAGATGCGTTGTCATCTTTTAAAAATGTGGAACCCGGCTACCTTACTAACCAGAGGAAACGCGGAAGTATAACATTTCCAGTTCACTCCGGTCTTCTGTGAGGTCGTGGTACTTACCCGGACGGACCTGCCCATCCGCACGACAGCGAAGATTGTCTTCACCAATTATACAATATATTATTTATTGTATGATATAACAGCCAGATTGTTTTACATTAATAGTAGACACATATACATCATAACATATCACAGTCGCACGCCTATTCTAGTAACCTTTACTCAATTATTTCTGGTCGAGTGTTGATTTTTGTGTCTCTTTTTTCATTGCGCAGTTTTATAACAGTCTAGCGGCTTGTTCCTCTCTACATTAATCTTATTTTATTTTTAGTACGGTATTTTAATGTCGACAATAGGACGGGACTGGGTATATCGAAACATCGCCTGAACATTGCGGCAAAATTTATGGCGGTTTCAATAACGATAATCATTCGAGTTCACTTAGTAGGGAGTCAAGGATGCGAAATGTGAAAGTCGAAGTGACATCTAATGATGTTAGTTTTAGCAGTTTTTTTTTTATTTAAAGTTAACGAAACAAATCGATTGGGCTTTTATGTTTGTAAGTGTTACGGTTGCTGTGTAGGTCGGTGCTTACCCAAAGATTTTCGAAATGAAGAATGATTGGCAATAGCTTGAATGCGATAAACTTATTAATTGTAACTCTGATAAAGTAACCTTACATAAAACTCTAGTTTTATATAGGTTATTTATAGTTTAGTTTAGTTTTTTATAGGTTATTAAAGGTCTACCTTTATGTGATAAACGTTGTGACATTCATACATCTAAGGTTAGTTCTAAAAAAAAAACTTTTTTTATGTGTCCTGTACGATTAAGTTTTCGCTCATCAATACAGATTAATAGAAACTGCTTTTTATTTAAGCTTAATTATATTTGAAAACTTCTATTTTCAAAATCAAAACTCAATTCTGAAACAGTAAATAATGCAATATCCAACCATAGTAAGACTGGGTGAATATTTTTATAGTAATTTAAATATCTGTTTTTATAATAATCTGTTTTTATCGATACTACAGGTGTTTTACCAACACATCACTATTCGAGACGCTCTTGAACTTGACCGTTGACTTTTATGAAAAATTTACGACAAGTTTTGAAATCTGACCAAGTTTTTGTATCTTTTGTTTTTTAATTAAATCTTCCTAATTAAGTAGGCAACGTCTGTGACTTGGAATATTTAAATGTAGTTGCGCATTGAACAAGTGAAATAATTTGAATAAAAATAATATCTTAATAAATATTATTCAGATTCTATTAGTTTTAGACACGTTAACATTATAAACAGAGTTAAAACAGGTCAAATCTGAAAGGTATTGATATCTTTTCGCTTAAATTTTAGATTATGGAACAAAAAAATCATCAGATTTAAACTTTTATTTAATATAATGTGAATTAAATAATTTTGTCAAGGTCGCTTAAAGAAAGTAAAAAGAATGAAATAAATTAAATAAACTTTATGGGGATTTAAAAACACATTTCTCTTACAGATATTTCTGAAGTTTTGTAATTGTGAATTTTTTAATACATATAAAAATATTCACAAGATTTAGAACGAAAGGCGCGTGCTAGCTTATCTCGAGCTTGGTTTAAAATCGATTTAAAATTTGACTCGAAACAGGCGTAAATTAAAACAAGTTATTAAAAACGTGAAATTAACAAAAAAAAAAAAGGAAGTAAAGTGTTAACAGTTAGTAATGTGAATTGAAGTATTAATTAATAAATGTGTCGCTGTCAATATCTTGAGTATATAACTTACTTATGTAATAAATAGCTTGTGATCTGTACAATGACATTAATTACCCGTCGCTCAATAACTTTATTAAAGAAATTTTAAATTTGACTTTTAAAAGTTAAAAATGTCTCCACTTATTGCTTTATCCTTGCAAGGTGTAAGACTTTGAATGAAGAATTCATAATGTTATTTTATCCTTGATCCCATCGAGATGGAATGTGGCTATTTGCGGAGGTAGGTTACACAGAGCTCTGGCACAAATTGATGCTGTGATTAAAAACACTAAAATAAACGATTAAAATGATTAAATTTGAAACATAAAAAAACCTCACGCCATGGTGTCCAAAGTTTTTATCGTGCACTTTGATTGGTCTGCTCTGAATTATAGAGGAGGATAATAATTTATGCTCGTTTATAATGTATGTTATCTTTCCAGTTTCCAAGAACTCTGTGTGTTACGTCGTAAACGACTAGAATTGACACTTATTTGCCGTAAATTGACAAAGAATTTATGATGTCGCAATAATTGGTGCGTTGATCCCCTAAAGCCGTGATAGCTCAGAGTGCGGGCTCTCACATGAAACATATCTGAGCAGCCAGTGTTCAAATCCCAGTGAATATGAGTGCCCAACGGTGAAACGTCGCTAAGAAGCCTGCGTGTTTTCTAAATAAAAAAATATGCGAAGTCTGCTAAGCCACAGTGGTGCACTATTCCTTTACATCTCTGTACAACGGAGGCCCTTGCCCAGCCCATTGGGATATATACAGATTGACACTTTAATTTTACTAACCTTGATGCCCACTTTGATTTATTCCGATTCATAATACCATTGACTATACAACCTCGAACAAAGGGAACTCTATATGGATCCATATATTACACATAGTTATGAGTCTGTGTTAAATTGCAAGAAGGGGAGTCTTAGACCACTCTGATGAGTGTGATTTCCTCTTAGTTTTTGGGCCTTGCTATTTTATTCCTTACTATAATTCACAGTTCACTTCGTATCTTCCGGTATAAGAAAGGTGAACATGGTAACTAAAATGCACAATTTCGAATAATTGTGTATGAAATCAGGAACAAAATGAAAGGAATAAAATTTACCGTGCGAAGGGAATGTCTGAGTCGGTGAACAGACTTTTCCCTGCAATATACTTAGAAAGAAGGTTGCAATTGTACACATAGCTGACAATAATGTATCCGTATCGGTCGAGATCCATAATCTCTACCTACCTTTCTGTTTGATGAACGTTTATGTAGGTCTTTTGCTCTTCTATGAATCAAAAGGACTATTCACAGTTAGGCTCTCAGCGAAGTCCGTTCAGCTGCCTTGTAAAATTAAATGTGCCAAATTAAGGAAAGCGTGGGGTGATTTTTTAGACAATAACGGTATCTTATTTTTGGTCCTTGTTAACTGGTATCCAAAAAGGAAAAGCCTTTTATTGTACCGTTTGAATGAAGGCGTTTATACAATGATTCTTTAAAGATAGTTGGTTACAGGATAACTACAAATTCAATAGTTTATCGCCTCAATAAATTTGTCTGTAATACATTATTTGTTTATTTATTTATTTATACTTCATTGTTACACCTTAGGCTAAAGGCTACAATGTGCGGACTTAATGCCTAATGGCATTCTCTACCAGTCAACCCTTGTCACGGTGAAAAGTAGGTGGCAGGTGCTAAACCGAAGAGCAAATATAAGAAATAAATAAATTTAAATAAATACATACAAATTATATATAACATGTGTATTATAAATAATAAATAAATAAATATTTTAGGACACATTTTTACACAACATTCTCTAGTCCTAAACTAAGCAAAGCTTGTACTATGGGTACTATAAAACTGATAAACATACTTTAACATGCTTTTCTTTTGTAAATCAATACATAATATATGTCTGGGTGTTTATATACATATATAAACACCCAGACACTAGAAAAACACTATGTTCATCACACAATATTTTTTCAGTAGTGGGGATCGAACCCACACCCTCTGGCGCAGGAGGCAGGTACACTATCCACTACGCCATTCGAGTCGTATATAGTATTGTGGTCGTATATACATATATATACATATATGCAGTCACGATTGTGGAAAAAAGGTTTTTTATCTCAATGATTTTTTTTCCACTCTAAGCGATTTAAATGGATTAAAGGAATATTAATTTTAATTTTATAATAAATAAATTCTAAACGCTTATGTTATTCCCTTATTATAATCTAAGTGTATTTATTTATATATATATATCCGTTGCGATTTGCAGAGGAAAAATACGCTTACATAAAATTTTGCATGATATTTAATGAGATTTATTGAGATCTTTTTTGGGTCATACCATGTACTGTACTGTCTTATATCAATAAATCGATACTTGCCCGGTCCAAAATGTCAATTGACATTCACTCGCGGTTCCTTGACATTTTTAATTTAGGAACTCGATCTAGTTACATAATATTCAGATCCTGCTCTCGAATAGAAGGAAGAAGTTTATAAGAACAGATTCAAAATTTATCTTTATTTTAATGGAAATCCCTATATACAACGGCTTTGCTAATAAATAAATGAATTTAAATATTTTAGGACACATTTTGACACAACCTTATCTAGTCATAAACTAAGCAAAACTTGTACTATGGATGTCTAACTGTATGTTACTTAACGGATAAACATACTTATCATGCTTTTATTTTGTAAATATACAATATTAAAGATATACAAATAAACATATCACAGACTCTAGAAAGACCACTATGAACATCACACAATATTTTTTCAGTAGTGGCAATCTAACCTACACTCTCTGACGCTGGAGATAAGTCCAATATCCAATACTCCAGTCGTCATATCAGCTCTCTTAATATCAATCTTAATACAGTCTCAAATCTGGATACCTAAATCAAAGGGACATAATATATCGTACCGACAGTAACGAGTGAATTTAATCAAGTAATCAATAATTTAGAGGATTTAGGCAGAAAGTAACTTTTATGTCCCTATGAATTTTTTACTTGATAAGAACGCGTGTGTTCTCAAATTATACTAATAAATAATAAGCATAGCTGATAATAACTTGTATACTAACATAAATAATAATAACTTTTAAGATTAATTTAAAATTTAATTACAATTCAAGATAATGCTCGACCGGTCGTAGCTGAATTTGTGAGAAGCTCAACAATATCTTGAAGAGCTTTGGATACGCACGTTTTATTAGCCAGCAAGTAGCCCGGAAATTAATCCCGGTCAAGAAATCTTGAAAAATTGTAATGGCACTAAGGAAGAGTATTGATTCAGGAATGGTACAATTTTCTTTTTGTTATTCCCCAAGATCGTTTAAAACCTTTATCAGGTCTCTGCGAAGCTAATCGGAAGCAGTAATAACGGAACGTGGAGGCAATACACTATAATATTCTCATTCCTCCTTTCAATAATAATTTAATTTAAAATTTTTGAATTAAACTGATGTTTTACATACAAAAATTTCAATTGTCGTTTTAAATAAGCAAGCTTAAAATAACCTTTAGACGCGATAATACGCTGACTTAAAGATGATGAACCAGTTTATAGTTTTTAATTTAGATTGCTTTAATAATTTTAATAATTTATGCATATTTTTCAAAAATATTTAAATAAAGGTTTTTAATTAATTTTATGTGTTTGTCAGTGTATTGATTACGATTGAATATATGAGTCATTGGTGAAATAGCAGTAAGGTGATGTGTCAATTCTAACGTAGGTTTTTTTACAATAATCTTTAATAGAGTTAATAAAAGTACCGTTTGGACAGGTCAAGCTTTTGTTGATTTGTTATAACACCAGTTTCACAAGATTCTAATGCAGCGCCATCTATGGAAATGCAGGTAATAACAAACACACAATAGAAAAACAAGAATCTATATATTATGCTTATACTAGTAAAGCTAATGTCGATGCAAACAGTTTCAGAACGTGTACCTAGATGTCGCTGTTTAATCATCACTACATAGTATAAAACAAAGTCGTCCCGCTGTCTATCTGTCCCTATGTATGTTTACTTATTTAAAACTACGTATATGTATATATATATATATATATATATATTCAAGAGGAAGGTTTATTTGTATAATACACCGCACTCGTCCGAAGCTGGGGCGGGTCGCTAGTATCTTAATAGATACGGGGGTAAACGTGCAACTGGCTTACCTTATAGCAAGTTATCGCCACCGCTAATAGAACTACACAAACAGTACAAACAGTGTTTTTTACTAAATTCTGAGAATAAAATATAAACATATACTGTTATACTCAATATAATAATCTCAATATAGGAATCTTCAATATATAAGTTGTGGGTATTAAAAATATTGTTGAAGTTATACTTATTGCTAATAAATTTATTTAATTGAGCTGTTAAGTTAATCGTATTTAATGTCTTTTTTAGTTATTTTTCTTTCCTTACGGTAAAGAAGCATAACTTCTCACGTGCGTACATAAGCAAACACATACTTATTTGTGTGTGAGTAGGTTTTAATTTATAACCTTGTGTAAGCTGGATAAAGCCTAGAGGATTTATGCTACTGCTATCCCACATTCTTGAAAAATATCCGCCATTCGCTTTAATAATCCAGTCTTTAAACTTCTTTATCGTTTCCTGTACAGGTTTAAAAGGTAAACGATAATAATGAAAAAGAACCCAATAAGCACCAATTGTTGAATAAAAACAAGAAATTCTGCACAATTTATGGCTTTACTTAATGGCGCCAACTCTCCGTCTGTATTTTCCATACTTTATTCGTAACATCACCTTTATTTGTCATAAGTACAACATACAAAATCGAATTTCTATGTTATTCTTTCAGTAAAATAGAGCGTCGTATCCCGGAGGGCGGTGGTTCAAACGTTAAAACAAAAGTTAAGTCAAGAGGAAATAATTAAATGAAATAGACATTTAATAGGCGTGGACTGAATGGAAAGGAAAAAAGTTTGATGATTGAATTAAGTGGAATGCACTCCATGTCTTTTAGAGATTATTTCACAACAGATGAATAATCAGCTTGTTTGCCGTCTTTTTTCCTTAAGATAAAGAGTTCATCTACATAAGATTTTACCTTACAGTGACAATTAAATACTTAAACAATCACATAAATTATATCGTCATTAAGAATGTGACACATCAAAGATAATATATAAAAAATGCCGTGGCATTTTTTTGCCACATTTTTTGCAAGCCGCTATCAGCTTTTTGGTGGAACAAAAGTTGATAAATTTTTATTTATATCTGATAGATTAAAAAAAATGTTATAGAAACTTGTGGCCATAAACACATCTTTAGTCTTTCGTTGTCTTATTTAGAATTTTATCTCGATATTTCGGAAAATATACAAGGTATTTTAGTATGTATGCAGAAAAAGTTTGTAGGATTCTATGGAAAACAAATTAAATTTAATATATACAATTTAATATATATGCCATATTAACGGCAAAAGATAAAACTTTTTTATTTATTACTATCACTGTTATTTTTAAATTACTTTTTCTTTAAATATAGTTTTATAACAATTCTATATGTATTTCATCTATTAATTAACGATTATAAAAACGTCCCATTCAATAAAATCGAAATGCAAAGAGAACCATTTATAAAAAAAAAAACGTAAATAAGTATTCACAGGAAATATGGGTGAATATATTATACTATAATACGTAAAGCTCATAATAAAAGTATTCAGTCTTTTATCTCAAATGTCAATGTAAAATAATGTCAATTAGCCTGATTAAAAAAACAAATGCACAATTCATTACGCTAAATACAAGTTATCCTTACAATCTATTATCTATTAAATTCATTATATAACATTAATCTTTTTTATGTTGGTTTCTGATAATCAGACGCTCGATTAAAAATTATACATTAAAAATACGCTTTTGAAAATAAGGTGACTTATTTATATATGGATATTACACATATTCGAAAGGGCTCAAAATAAACACTGTACATCCCTAGTAATAGGAAATTTAGTTAATTATGCCTTCTAATATGATAATTGATAACATTTTTTCACGTCCTGTATACAACTATTAGAGCGTAACAATAATTTGTAAAATGTTATCATTTTCTCGGGCGTCACGTTCCTTAGCTTCAGTTGGCATTTGTGCACCTTCACACATTGTCATATTATCTCCTGCATTGTCTTTTATTTTATCTGAAACAACATTTACGCCTTGTTTAACTTCTTTGCGCAAATGTCTCATACTTTCGATATCTAAGGTGCCGTTGGGTGACTCCAATTTTATTTCTTGATTAATGTTAAAAATATTTCTCGCCGAGTCTAATTCCTGCTTCCTTTTGGGATTGTTCCTCTTTTCCAGTCTTATTTCGCTGTCCCTATGGCTGACGGTACCTCGAAAGTTAACGATTACAGTCGGCTTGATAACTGTTTGGTATTCCCTGTTCCCGATTTGACTCAAATCCTCCATTTTATTTATTATTGGTCTTAAATTGTCTTCTATTAAGTCGGTGTCCATTTCCGGAATTTCGTCTTTGTTTTTGACAAAGTTAACTTTACTGCTCGGTTTCGGGTCTGGTTTTGGTTCTTTTCGTGGCCTCTGAGTTGTTGGTTTGGGATCAAATCTCTCCGTCGGTGTATTGACGTAAACAATTATATCCTCCTTTTTATTCTCCACTTTGATTTCGCTCCCGTTAGTTTGGATACTTTTTGGAAATCTGTGTTTCAACGTTGGCATTTCTATGCGGTCATTTCTTCGCGGTATGAAATCCGCGTCGCTCGGTAGTTCCGGTGGCTCATTGTCATAGCCATACCGGTCGTAGTTCTGCGACAGGTTGTTTCCGTCGTTGAGATTGATCTCCTCCGGTAGCTGCGTTCGGATTCGAAGAGATTCTATGACGTCACGGAAAAGTGAACGCTTCTCGTGCGTAGTGGCTACCCCGTGGTCCTTCGTTGGTTGCGCAGTGCTGAGTATAAGCATATACGTAACGCAAATGAAGCACTGCATCTGTGAAACATGCATGTTTCATGAAATATCAAATAAAACGAAATTTATTGTTACGTAAAATTGGGCGATTTTAATCCTTACTAATATTATAAAGGCGAAAGTTTGTATGTATGTATGGATGTTTGTTACTCTTTCACGCAAATACTACTGAATGAATTTTAATGAAACTTTACAATAATATAGTTTATACATCAGAATAAGACATAGGCTATAACTTATGTACATATTTTATGTATATCTGTCTTTCTGTCTGAATGTTACGCCTTCAGCCTATTCTACGCAGACGGCGTCGCGGGGAGCATCTAGTTTTATATAATGTTCGTATTATTTAACATCTCGTTACTGTGAACACTAAATTCATTTTTAAACTAATATATTCTTACTTTTTAAAACGTGTTCAAAATGCAGCCGTTATGGCCTAGTGTCCGGGCGATCGCTTTTAATTCAATATACTTAGAAAAGAAAAAGAAAGTTATTAGAGTAACCTAAGTTTAAACCCCGTTACCGGCGCCAATGAAACTGTTAATTATAAGTGCTGACTTAACAAGTGCTCAGCGGTGACGTTAAATAAGGATCGTGAGGAAACCTGCATATTTTCGAAATATTTACAAAAAAATTCAGATACACCGATTCGAAATGTAAATCAAATCACTGTGCATTACATATTTGTGACGCATTCATAATATTAGTACGATGACCTTCACTTTAGTACTAAAAATGCGTAAGTTTGTGTATGTATTCCCTTTTTGTGCCGGCTAAGGGAACTGATATTTGATTAATGCTTATTAGCTATCAAAAACATTTTATATTGAAATATTTTTTTACATTATATGGTATCGACATATTTATTTATTCATTTATTATACACACACACACACACACACACACAACTATAATTTCAAGCTAACCAAATACGATAATCAAAGTAATAATATAAAATAATACCATACTTATTACTTTATATTTAACAGATCACGTAATGGGATACTATGGTAACATAGCATGGATATAGAATAAAGCTAGTGGGTTGTAATCAAATGTGGCTTACCTTGACAAGCTAGCTAAGCGCGAGTGGATGGACCACACTACGGCTGGCAACTGCGCCACAATCGCGAGTATGATCGGGAACGGTCCGAGGGTTGACTGAACTCTATTGAACCGCTCCAGAGGTGCTCACAGGGATTTTCGAAAACAGTGTATTCATTCTCAACGCTTTCCCAGATTAATTTTTCATTTCAATCTGAATGTTTATAGTTACAAACTTTCTATCTTTTATCATGGGCTTAGTTGTTATCCTGTAATTAAGTTATCTGGGGAGCACACTATCATCTAAATGTGATCTAGACGCGGAAATAAACAGCAGGATCGGCGCTGCTGCTGCATCGTTCGGCAAATTAAATGCGAAGGTCTACGGCTCCCATGACCTAAAGCTAGCGACTAAGATCTCCGTCTACATGGCTGTTGTGCTGCCCAATATTCTTTATTCTGCCGAAACATGGACCGTGTAAATGCCTGCGTAAAATACTAAACATTCGATGGTCTAATCGTGTACGGAACACCGAAGTGCTGCGAAGAGCCAATGTAGGTGGCATTGAGGCTTACCTTATGGGCGTCAACTTCGATGGGGCGGACACGAGTCGCGTATGGCGGAGCAAAGAGTTGCTAAGCGCATCTTTTACTCGGAACTTGAGGAAGGCAAGCGTAAGCATGGCGGTCAACTACTCAGGTACAGAGATGTGCTTAAGCGGCATATGAAGAGGTGCAGCATCGACCCGCTGCTATGGGAGCAGGAAGCAGCCAGACGGACTTAGTGGAGGGAGCTTGTTAAAACGAGGGTCCAAAACTTTGAGGACAGGCGGCTCTGTGAGCCAGACGCCAAGCGAGACGAACTAAAGGCTCGACCACCAGCGGCCATTAGTTATAATTATGTAAACGGTGTGCTAACGTGCCCGCAGTGTGCGAGGATTTTTACGCAAATTGGCTACATAAGCCACACGCGAGCACACCAAAGACAAAACCGGAGTTAAATGCAGTTGCCGTGGCCGAAATCGGCCAGGAGGAATCATAATTAAGTAATATAAACATAGTCTGGCCTTAATTAATACCTGTTTATAAGCTAAAAGGAAAAGGAAGCATTTCCTATTAAAGTTCCTCAAGTTGCTATATATATATAGATAGAAAAATATACAGGGATGCGTCCCACAAATGGGGAATTTAAAATACAGCTAGTATTTTAGCGAAATGAACTAAAATTAACAACAAAATATATATGACGGTATCTATTAATGTGGCCCACATTATCAGTGAGAGCTACAAGTTCTAGTTTGTGTCATAATAAAACCCAGTTGCTTCGAAATAACAACGACTTTGAAAATTTCTTCTTTTTTAATTTTACTCTTAGTAGATATCTATATTTAGTAATATAACTATGATATAAGAATTTGCATTAGATGTGTAAACATGTTTTACTAACTGACAAAAATGAACTTTGCAGCGTAGGGACAAAGGGAGATGGAAAATAATCGTTATTTTTCTTAAGCATTGTTGTTAACCTCTGTCCTGAATTAAACACTAACCCGTCTTCCAAGACGGGAACTACGATCCGGAACCCATTGTGATTCGCCAACATATGCGGGTCTCTGATAAGCGATTGTGTATCTTATTAAATACGATATTTAGGTATCACAGTACGCATGCAGTTTTGTCGTTTTTCCCACAACATGCTTTTCTATAAGATGCTACATCAGCTGAGTTAAATGATGACGCTTTTTGTGTCATCATAATGTTTTTTAATTGTAATGGGGCTCTTGACCCTTATATGTTTGATTTGTTGTATTTTAAAATGTATAGACGTAAAACGAAAGTAAAAAAATCTTTACATCATTTTAGTTATATTAATACTTATATCATTTTAGTTTGTCAAAATACTAATTAGGCTCCATACTTTTAAAAATCATATGGATGTTGAATCGTTATGGATTTTGTTGTTGGATTTTCCAGTGATTTTATTAATGGTAAAAGACTAAAATCAATTAATTAAATACTTGGAACTATTGATCAACTTTTATCCTATTGGTGTGAGATAAATCATGTCTAAAAATTATTCACATTTGATACAATAACAATAGATTAACAACATTTAACTGATGAAACTTTTTTGAGAGATTAGAAGAATGTATAAAATAAAATAAGTAAAAAATATAAAAGCCTATTACTTCAAACCTAATAATTAACTAATACTTTTCAGAAGATAGAGACTACTGGGATTCTTTGGAGGAGTTCTTTACCCTCAAATCCCTCAAATCAAGAGGGGTTCGCGCTAATCAGAATGTGTAAAATACAAAAATAAATATTTACATACAGCTTTTTTATTTAATTGAAAGATATACATTCAATTTTATTTAAACATAAAATCAAATCTGAATAATTTTCTAGTTTTGTATTTGTTCTAAAGAATAGACAGAATATCTAAAGATTAAACATAATACAGCATTTTAGATTTTTTATTTTTACCCTTTAATTTAGATGATATTCTCTTAACATTATGTTTTACTTTATCGTTAGCGGGCAATTTTTCTTCTTCTTTGACTTCTATTACTCCACTTGGTCGTTCTAAATTAATTTCTTGATTGATTTTAAATTCGTTGTGGTCATCGTAAAGTACTGGTTTCATTTTATTATAACGTCTTATCTTTGGGCTAACATTAGAATCTACATGGCTAACTGTACCAAAATAATTAACTATAACAGTGGGCTTAATAAGCGTTTGATACTTTTTATTTCCGATTTGACTTAAGCCTTCCATATGGTTTTGTATTGATTTGTAATTGTCGTGCATTGTTTCGTTTTTCTTGCTTGTTTTCACTTTTTGTTTCATGTCATCTACTTTTTCTACAGTTATTTGGTTGCTTTTTGGTTTTTCTTTTTGTTTGTTCTGTATTAAATTCCTTATAGGACTTCCTGTAGTCCATTTTGAATGTTCAATTGATGAATTGACAAGATTCTCCTTGAGTTTTTCAACGAAATTATTCACTGAATAGTCCAGCATAACATTGTTTTTCGGTTCAACATTAATTTTCTTTAAAGCTTGATTATGTAAAAATTCATACTTCATTTTTGTATCATCCTTAGAATATTTATTGTGTTCCAAAATATTAACTTGTTGTGATAATTTTTTTGTAATTTCCTTCTTGTGTATCACTTACGTTCGATTGCACAATATATAAAACTGTCGTAAGCGTGTACCAAAAGATTTGGACCTGCTAAAAAAAGTATTTCAAAATTATTCTGATGTCCAATTAGATCAAAATTCTCGAAATTTTAATTAAAAATCTCAATAACATTTGCTGAAAATCGACACATGTGAAAAAAATTAAAAGTGAAATCCTATAGGATACTTATTAATTGCCTAGCGCCTGATTTCACAACAATCATCCGTAACGGCGTGACGCTACAAGTACGAATGACAATTATTCGATGCTTTCAAACATTTAAACAGATGGAATATTAAATAATAAAACATTTCGCTTATTGTTGCTTTTTGCTATACATTTATTTATTGATCAAAACGTGATTATAACCATTTAAAGGGAAAAATCATATGTTTATGTCAATCTTAATATAAGCGTACATTGTTTGGTTATTTTTCCAAAGTTCCAACCAATATCATTACAGAACAGATCACAAGAAGAGTCTACCATTCATTACACTAGTTCTCTACGCCCACATATTCTTGCCATGTATATGATTTGATTTTTGTGTCCATGATTTATGAAAGGACCAGGAAATTTAAAAAAAAACACGTCTGATAATTTTATATTATCATATTTATATTATTTAATATATTTATTATTAAATTATTGAACGTTGAACATAATTGCATGACCGGTTAAAAATGTCATATTATAGCGATTAAACAAATAAAAGTGTACATAAGATGGAGGTTTAAAAAGTATGTTGTTCCGATCGAGAAA